CAGACTGCTGTTTATTTTTCCACTACAAAGAAAATCAAGTTGAGTCAGAGGAAAAAAATACAGAAAAATGGTTTCAGCGCTTTTTTCTTTTTTTAAATATGCACTGTGATGCGAGGAAGGATTTTTGCACTGTAAATAGCAACTCTTTATTTTGCTTTGTGCTCCACTTTAACTACCAGCTCTGCATGCACATTTTAGAGACAAATATTTATAAACCGTCTGAAGCAATGCAGTTTATGACCAGCTTGGAAAATTACTCCTGTTTCTGCAGAAGCGAGTGTTTACCACACTGCAGATAGTTCGATAGAGTATCTTTTCCCGGGTGTTTTATTTATACAGCTTCCTACACCCCTCTTTTTCTCTCCCCATCTATAACAAGTGTCAGAGAGTTTGAGAACCCATCTGTGGGCACTGGAGACAAAATTATTCAGCTGGTCCCTATTTTGGATAATCCTAATATCCAGAAAGGAGGCAACCACTGCAAGAAGTTGTCCTCCAGCGCAACCAGTGCTGTCCTCCCCCACGGCTCACCGATCATACAAGGATGTGAGGCACAGAGATGCTTCACTGTCTTTTGTATGTATTTCAGCCTAAGTAACCTGTTTCATTTTTTGCACCAGAGAAGAGAGGAAAAAAAGAAAAAAAATCAATGAAAATAGTTAATGGTTTGAAGAGAAATCACAAGTAACACTGCTTGAGAGTTTACCACTTTTCATCTGACTTTTAATTTAAAAGTAGCAGAGGAATAAACTAACAATTTACATGCTGAAGGATGAAAAGTTAAAGATGACACTGATGCAGGCACCAAACTATTCAGTGCTATACACTAACCATATGCATCAACCGGAAAAAAAAATGCAAGGCACTTCAGTGAGACCTGCAGAAATTCAATATTTTCTTGTTAGGTAGCTAAAGCCACCAACTTAGTCACTTATTAGCTAAATTACTGCAAGTAATCTTCTTCCTTGATGGATACTCTTAAGGTTTTTTAGACATTAATGAGAAAAGACCTGCTGCTGGCTGTCTCAGAAGACTATGTGTGAAAAAGGACTATGAAATCCGTTCCCGCGTGCTCACAGCCACCGGGGATGGCACGATGCTTCTGGAAGAACCCTTTTCTCACCCCTCTTTTTCTTCCCATTCTCCCCAAAATGCTGTTGCTCTCAAACTGATGTAGCAGCATCTTCCCCTGGAAGGGCCAGTTCCAGCTGACCCTGCCAGGTAAGGCATTTATGGTATAGATCTGCAAACCCTGCCATCCTTCATGCTCTTACTGAGGCATTTCCATAAGGACTGAAAAAGACTATTTATCATATAAATTACTCTGTGTGCTATATTATATATGTGTATAGTGTAATATATGTGCATCCTGTTGAAGCTATGTGTTTGCTTTAATTCTGTTTGGGAAGTGCAGCAAATCAGTTATAGTGGTATCTGTGAAGACATTGTCAGCTTCTTCTCACTTTCTGAAACAGCTCCTTCATACTCTGACTCAAAAGCTCTAGAAGATCAGTCTTCACCAAAATATTCTGATGCTAACCAGGATTTTTATTCTTTTATATAGAGGCAGTGATGCATGTAACAAGCTTAACAAAAATATATTCCATTTCCTAAGGATTTTTATATGACTTAATGCATATATAACTTCCCTTTGCCTACCCGATGATTTGAGATCATTTAATCCAATTTTATACCTTCATCTTCATAGTGCTTCTGAAAAACTCATCTTCAAGAAACATTCATTCCTACTTTACATGGCTAATAAAAAAGCCAAACATGACACCTGCCATAGTACCTTGGTGTCACTGCATTTTTTGTAGGCAGTTAACCATTCTCCACTTTTCTTAAATTCATTTATCTCCATAATTGATTTCACTCTAGAACATTAGTAACTACAATAAAACACCCTTTGAATTATTAAATATTATCAGATAGCTGCAGTGGAGTGCTATATTCATGCACTATGCAAACAGAAAGAACAACAGTATTTTTTAGTTGGGAAAATAGGAAACTTGGAATTTTTCGTAGTTAAATCAGTAGTTTGTAAGGAGGCACTGCCAAACTGCACAATAACCTAGACACAGCTGTGTATTCAAATTTGCACTCCCAGGAAAATGAAAAACCTCCTGGCTTTACATGACAAACTGTCATGCGAAAATCTGTCATACTGGAGAAATATATTCCCATTCTCCTCCTAGTCCAAAGTTTTCATCTAAAACTGCAGTTAACCAGATACATTACACAGCTCTAGCAAACTCATAATAATGACATCATACTCACAGGTAATAATTTAAGGAGGATGACAGCAAAAGATTAGAACAGGGGGAATTAACTTAACAGACCTGCTTTGCCACTAGTTCTTCCCATTTATAGCAAGTGCCCCAAGCATGACCTCTTACAGACTCTTCTGCAGTTAACCAGTCAACTGATGAGTAAGAATTTGTAACGAGATTATTCAGGGCTGCTTTGTTCTCAGGTATCAGTACACAGCTTTTCACCTTCTCCAAATATGGATGTCCTCCAGCACAAAAAGCCCTGCAAGAGCAGGTTATTTTTTTGACCGCAGACTCTCATTTCCTATGCCCAGAAGCTGCAGCTTCCACTTGCCCATTAAACGTACAGCCCCCAGGGATGCAGGGTCACAGAAGAAGTGCCAGGGGCCACATCAATATTAGGTAGTGGTGTATCTCCTCTGCCTTGTTCTTTGACAACAGAGATGATGACACCTCACCCGACCGGCCAGTTCCCTTCTTTGCAACTGCATTTACTTTTCCTTTCATGAGTAGCACACGTGGAGCTTTGCTAATATACAGCAACTTCTGGATGTTTATGAGTTTCCAAAGCCTTAAGGCTGTTCTCTACATAGGCAAGCAAACCATACAATTCTGCCTGGAGAGGTCAGATCTTTTCCCCACTGACAACTCGAGTCATCGATCTATTCTCACTCTAACACAATCACAAACCATAGCTTATAAGAGGACCTCACCAGTATCAGACAGCCAGGCTAAGCTCATTAAAAAGCCTGCATCAAACTCCCAGCTGATAAAACCTTCTAAGAAACAGGGGAAAGAAACTAATGAAAATACACTCTTAACAAGCACGTTTTTAGATTACATCGAAATAAGTGGCTAAAGTCTTCTTTGAAGCAGACTTGCCCTGGTTATTCTCTGACGAGAAACAAAATTAAGGAGTGTAATAAAAGCTATGGAAGAAAGTAGGATCAAAATCCTATGACACCAGTACAGTGAAAAGAATACTTTATCTACTTTGGAAGCGACATTTTGTAAAGATACCTCAGTAACAAAGTCAGAAGAAACTGGAGTTTATACTTACAGTTGTCCTGGTTGAATGAAAAATTAAGTCCAGAAAATATCCAGTTAAAAAAAAAAAGCAGACACTGAGGCAACACAGCAGAGCATAGAAGGAAAAGACATAAACCGCCAGCAACCACAAATATGAATCACAATAACATCGAAGAGGAGTGTTGCACTTAGTACTACGATGTCATAGGATTAATAAGTCAACCCATTGTTCAACTTGCCTGCTCAAACTCTTCCATGTCCACCTCGCCGTCACCATTCAGATCAAACATCTTAAAGGCGATTTCAAAATTCCTCTGAGGAGCTACATAACAAAACCACACAATAAAAAACAAAGATCAGTTAACAAAAATACAGAAGCTCAATTAAAAAAAGGCACAAGTTTGCTCTATCCAAAAGCAATTTTCCATAATTCTTGCAATTTTAAGAAAATGCATCTCTCGGGAACCTCTAGCTACGATCTTCATCGTGGTCCTTTTACCAAAGGTCTCAACAAGGAGGTTGGGTGGAGATGTTTCCTGAACAAAATTTATTCCATTTACAGATAGAAAAAGCACAAAACCAAGACACCACCTGATATTTCTAATGACAATCAACAGAAAACGATACTGTAGCAAGAACTCCAGCCTGCTCCATACAGTATAACACCAATTTGGCCAGAGGAAGTTCCTCTGGCACTGCAGAGTGCTGTCCAAGCTTGGTGAAACAATTGGTGGGTGAGGAACAGACCTGGACTTTTGGTAATTCTCTTGCAGACTCAGCTGTTGTCTCAGTGTACAAGTTTAAACAAATCATTACCAACTTTGTCTCAGTCCAGTTATGACACTGAGATAACACGAGCTGGAGCTCACCAGCTGAGACACACACAAGACAGCATGGTACCTCATTTTTCATTGCACTGAGTCTACGCTGTCACAGTTTATTTAGCAAGAACTCTGTAAAAGCATCGCTTCACAGCCACCCATCAGAGCAAAACCATGCTCTTTCCCCTGCATCCCACCAAAGAATTCCAGTATGTTTCCATTTTGGGCTCTGTAACCCATCACCATTTAAAGCTACAACATAGTGCCACAATTGTTTTCCAAATTAAGCTAATATATGAGAATTTATCTTGCTCTGCTACTTTCAAATACACACCATCTACAGGAATGCTGGTGTTCGTTAGGATATCTAGGCAATCCTCTGGGGTACAACTAGTGCTTAAGTTGTCATCTTAAATGATCAGTTCAAACAGTCTCTTTTTTTTTGTTCTGAAGACAGCTCTTCCCCACCCAAATCTGGCAGCAGGATGTGGATCACTGGTGAGGCTCATTCCCCTTTAACCTCATCTGTTGCAATCAACTGATAATATTTCTTGTGGATACTTAAAAAGTAATTAGTTTCTGCACCCAGCATTCTGAATTAAGGCATCTCCCAGATGAGGGTGGAAGGGGGGAGCAAAGAAATCACTCAGTCGAAAAGAAATTAATACGGAATTAACTGAACTGAATTTTGTACATTAGTTACAGTTACAATTTAGGGCAAGGAGACTTTTACATTGTGTTTTCCCTTTGCTATAATAAACTGTAGCACTTTATCACTAAAAGATTCAACAAACATGTTAATGAGATCACTTTTTCCAATCACTTTGTGCCTTAAAACAGATGTATAACAACATTAAATTCGATGGCAGGAATGGCCTGTCACTAGCCGCTTGAAATATACAGCACATATGTCCTGCCACCATCATCTCTAGATTTCCAATTTCCTCATGCCAATTATTTGGGCTTTAAATTCCAACCCTCCCGCACATAAGCAATGTCTCCAATAACCATGGCAATCGCCAGCAGCACGCGGTGAGTTATTTCACATACAACCCTGCACCCAGCCTCCACCCAGCTCCTCTGTCCTGCCTGCCGGGATGGGGAGACCTTCGCTCGCCATCCCTCATTATTTCACCATTAGCTGAGATGTACGTAGGTGGACTGGTTGTCCTCAACACCAACTTCATCATCGCTTCAATGATGCAATCTAATTAAGGGGATTTATACAAAAAGCCTCCTCTATATCCATCCATCATTTCCAGTGATTAATTCCATTTCCTTGAGAGCAACAATATTAAGCACCTTCCAACTACCCTCGTAATGTTTAAATAACACATCCAATTTTATTCACTTTAATTGCACACACTGCATGAAAGCCTGGACGCAATTTCTCCTACTAGCCCCCAAAATCCAGCGAAAGAGTCGTTTCCTCTTTGAGGCAATAGAGGACTATATAAAGCTCTGACTTAGTTCCAAGATGCTAGAAAAAGAGCAATTTACACATCTCCTCTTTCTTCGCTCATTTTCTATGCCAGGGTACAATATGTATATTCTGAGACTGGAAAATGTGTTACTCCTTGTGAAAAATTGGTGTTTGGGGTTCTTTTTCGCATTTCTTTAAGGAAACACACAGCACCATGTCCCATTCGCACAGACACAGGCTAAACAGAGAAAGCAAAGTACTTAACTTACCTCTCACAAAGGCCATTTCCTTCCTCTCCCTTCTCTAAATACACATTTTCAAGAGCAGTTTATGAAAGACCCAGAGGAGAACATCACTTGCAAAATTAAAATGAACAGTTCAACATCAAAAAATCTGCAGGGTCAGTATTTTCTAAGGACAGGGAAGGAAAGTGGCTTTAAGTTGGCAAATTTAATTACTTCACTCCTCTAGCTAATAAGCGACACAGCCCGTTTCTTCCTCTGATCTGCATATCTAACTCAAATTACTTGTAATGACACTTAAATCCAACAAACACGAATCCGAGCCAGGGTAACCAGAGGGTACTGAAGACAATTAGCTCATCCCACTCCTACTCAGGAAGAAACGTTCACTAAGATGTATGTCCCTGATCTCAGGGCAGCCTGAATTTACTGGTCCCGAGTGAGACAGTTTCTGCCTCTCCTCTTGGGCATGATGTTTCTGACCAGGATTTACTGGTGAAGAGTCAACCTAACAGCATCTAACCCCCCCCTTGCCCACCCTGCCCCATAACTCATCGTTACATCAGCCTGCACAACCTCCATTTCTCTTCTTCCTCTTGTACTTACATATTTCACAAACGTCCAGACCACAAAAGCAGCAGAAATTGTTTTGCCTTGCTAAACTTAGCCTTTTTACTCTGCCCCCAATTTACCATTCTCAACTGCAGCTTCTCCAAATTTCACCGTTGCCTCAAAATAAACACAATACTCCTCCTGCAATGGTTATCAAAACCATTTATAGGACTGTTTGCTTTTAACACAGCTTACTAACTGTCCAAACAAGGGAAAACCATTTCTGGATTTTCACAGAATCAGAGAATGCTTTGGGTTGGCAGGGACCTTTAGAGGTCAACTAGCCCAACCTTCCTGCAGTGAGCAGGGATATCTTCAACTAGACCAGGTTGCTCAGAGCGCCATCCAAACTGACCTGGAATGTTTCCAGGGATGGGGCATCTACCACCTCTATGGGCAACCTGTTTCAGTGCTTCAACACCTTCATCGTAAAAAAATTCTTCCTTATATCCAGTCTAAATCTACCCTCCTTTAGTGCAAAGCCATTACTACTTGTCCCATCACAACAGGCCTTGCAAAAAAGATTGTCCCCTTTAAGTATTGAAAGGCTGCAATCTGGTCTCCCCTCAGCCTTCTCTTCTCCGGCTGGACAACCCCAACTCTCTTGCCCTGTCCTCACAGGAGATGTGTTCTGGCGCTCTGATCGTCTTTGTGGCCTCTTCTGGACCTGCTCCAACAGGTTTTTCCTGCGATGAGTGCTCCAGAGCTGGACACAGGACTCCAGGTGGGGTCTCACCAGACTGGAGCAGAGGGGCAGAATCACCTCCCTGACCTGCTGGCCACGATTCTCTTGATGGCAGCCCAGGATACAGCTGGCCTTCTGGGCTGCAAGCACACACTGCCAGCTCATGTCCAGCTTTTCAGCCACCAGGACCCCCAAGTCCTTCTCGGCAGGGCTGCTCTCAATCCCTTCAGCCTTTCACAAGGCTTTCCAGCCTTTCCCTTCTTCCAGTCACCACAGATTTCACCTGACTGCCATGACTTCTCAAATATCACGGAGAGTGGCTTGGCAACTACATCGCCAGTTTCCTCATGACTCTGGGATGCATCTCATCAGGTCCCATAAACTTATGTATATTCTGGTTCCTCAGGTGGTCACGAAACCGGTCGTCCCTTACAGTGGGAAGGGCTTTACCCCTCTGGTCCTCATCTTGTAGCCCATTGATTCCGGAGGGGCGAGGAGAGAGGTTGCCAGTGGAGACTGGGACAAAAAACAGTTGTGGAGTACCTCAGCCTTCTCCTCACCTGTTGATATGAGGTCACCATTCTTGTTCATTGGGAGGGGGTGTGTGTGTACACTTTCTTTAACCTTCCTTTTCTGGCTGACATGCCTGCAGAAGCCCTGCTTGTTACTCTTAGCATCCCTTGCCAAGTTCAGCCTTGACCCTCCTGACCCCACCCCTACACAACCAGGCAGCATCCCTATAGCTCTTCCCAGGATACCTGTCCCTGCTTCCACTGCCTGTGCAGTTCCCTCTTGCCCTTTAGTTTGACCAGCAGGTCTCAACTCAGCCATGATGGT